TCCATTAGTTTTCATAAAGTTTAAACATCTGAATACACACTTATACATTAACAATCACCTTGATCTACACCGGGGTAGGCAACCTATGGCATGCGTGCCGAAGGCGGCACGCGAGCTGATTTTCAGGGGCACTCACACTGCCCGGGTCCTGGCCACCAGTCGGGGGCTCTGCATTTTAATTTAATTTTAAATGAAGCTCCTTAAACATTTTAAAAACCTTATTTACTTTACATACAACAATAGTTTAGTTCTATATTATAGACTTATAGAAAGAGACCTTCTAAAAACGTTAAAATGTATCACTGGCACGCAAAACCTTAAATCAGAGTGAATAAACGAAGACTCGGCACACCACTGCTGAAAGGTTGCCAACCCCTGCTATAGGGGGTAGTAGGGTTGCCAACTTTCTAACCGCACAAAACTGAACACCCTAGCCCTGCCCCTTCCCTGAGGCCCTACCCCTGCTCACTACATTCCCTCTCCCTTGGGGGCTTGCGCTCCCCCACCCTCACTCACTTTCACTTGGCTGGGGCAGGGGGTTGGGATGCAGGAGGGGGTGAAAGCTCCAGGGTGGGGACAGAAATGAGGGGTTCAGGGTGTGGGACGGGGCTCTGGGCTGGAGCAGGGAGTTGGGGTGAGTGAGGGGGTGAGGGATCTGGAGTGGGGCTGAGGGTCTTGGAGTGCAGGACGGGGCTCCAGGTTGGAGGTGGGGCTGAGGGATTCGGAGTGCGGGAGGGGGCTGCAGGTTGAAGCAGGAGTTGGATGCAGGAGGGGGTGAGAGCTCTGGGCTGGGGGTGCAGGCTCTGGGGTAGGGTTAGGGATGAGGGGTTTGGGATGTAAGAAGGGGGCTCTGGGTTTTGGGGGTGCTCAGGGCTGGGGCAGGGGTGTGGGTGTGGACTTACCTCGGGCAGCTCCCAGTCAGTGGCGCAGCAGGGCTAAGGCAGGCTCTCTGCCTGTCCTGGCTCTGTGCTGCACCCTGGAAGCAGCCAGCAGGTCCAGCTCCTAGGCTGGGGGGGGAGAGAAGGGAGCCAGGAGGCTCTGTGCGCAGCTCTCACCCACAGGCACCGCCCCCCCAGCTCCCATTGGCCATGGTTCCTGAACCTGCTGTCCGCTTCTGGGGTGCAGCGTGGTGACAGGACAGGTAGGGACTAGCTTGCCTTAGATCCACAACACTGCCCATCGGACTTTTAACGGCCTGGTCGGCAGTGCTGACCGGAGCCGCCAGCGTCCCTTTTTGACCGAGCGTTCTGGTCAAAAACTGGACGCCTGACAGAGCCTTTGGTAGTGGAGTTGGGGCTTGAGGGGAAAGGGAGAGGAAAACTAGGCCTTGGAGTTAGGGGGGGTGGGCTTGGACTGGCTGGGCAAGGAGTCTGGGGCTGGAAGACAGTGGGAGACTGAGAGCCAGGAGGGGGGCAGAGGGGTTCAATGGATGCAAAATGTCCTAGGTATCTCTTCCCCCTCCCCCCCCATGCTCTTAGCAGGCTGTGCGTGTTCTCAGCTCTGCTGCACACTTCCTGTGTGACCCGAGGCAAGTCACTACCTTGCTCTGTGCCCAGCGGCAGCTCCAGGCACCAGTGCAGCAAGCACGTGCCTGGGGCGGCAAGCCGCGGGGGGCGGCAGTCATGTGGCCTTCGGTGGCGTGCCTGCGGCAGGTCTGCTGGTCCCGCGGTTTTGGCGGTAATTCGGCAGCGGGTACGCCAAAGCCACGGGACTGGTAGATCACCCGCAGAAACGCCACCGAATCCACAAGACCGCGGACCTCCTGCAGGTATGCAGCGGAAGGCCGCCTGACTGCCGTGCTTGGGGTGGCAAAAAACATAGAGCCGCCCCTGTCTGTGCCTCACTTTTGACATCTCTAATATGGCAATGATATTTCCCTACATCACAGGTGTCTAGTGAGGATGCAGTCATTAACCCATGCTAGGCCATCAGGCTATTACATAACGAGTATCTCAACCGAAGTGTAAAAAAGAAATGGTCTGGTAAATTATCCCGCCAGCAAACTTCCAACTGCTGCCTTTCCCCACAGATCTGGTCCTTTGTTTTGGCATAAGCTAGCAAATGTGCGTGCACACACATGAGTGAGTGAGAAAGAGAAAGGTGTGTGTGGGGGAGGGAACACAGGCCAGTGCGTGTGAGAGCAGGGCATGGGGGGGGGCAGGGAGGACTAGCTTTCCAAATGAGCTCTCCTCCCATGTAGGCAGTAAACAAAGTGGCCAGACTGTTCTCAATGGGAGCTGCTGGGTGCCTGGGCCCTTTTGAAGATCTGGTCATGTCATTTACGTGCCTAGATGGGAGCCGTTAAGTACTGAGTTGTTTAGAAAATCTAGCCCTAAATGCTGGCCCTCAGGCTTGGCAGTGTATTAGACACAAGCAGTGTTCCAGGAAGGAGAAAAATGGGCTTTGTTTAATCTCTTTTTTTGTAGGACTGCACTGCAAATGTGCTATTAATTTCTTGAACTAGAAAGCGAAATCCAAATGAATGTGTCACGTTTATTTTCACTCAATTAAAGCTTTCAAGGCTGCATCTCAGAGGGTTATTTGTATCTCTTCCTCAGAAGACAGAGGCACTGTAACTGTAATCTACACAAATCAAATCAAGTTGTTTCTTGTAGGGACATTGGAATTGCCAGGCCCGGATCCATGTAGTCTCATATTCTGTCTCCGACAATGACCAGAGGCTTCTGTAGAAGAAGCCCTAGTGGACAGATATGGGCTAGCCTCTTTCTAGGGAACATTTCCTCCTGGGCTTCATTAGCTGGAGGCTGGTTGATGTCCTTAAGCAGGAGGATTTATAGCTTTTGCTCGTGTTTTTAATATATACTATTCTAACCCTGGATTCCCTTGTTACCCCTTGCGATAGACCCAGGCCAGTTGGGTACAGCAGAGTAGTAGAAGGCAGATATACTGGTCACCGGATAAGCAGTTTTCTGTTCCCTGACTGACTAGAGCAGGGGCTGCTCCAGGCTAGGGTGGACACCTGACTCCAATTAGCCTGCAAAGAGTCAGGTGAGACTGTTAAGCTAATGTGAAGGCCCCTCTGACACTATAAAAGGGCTCACTCCAGTCAGGCCCAAGAGAGCCAGGGAGCCAGAGGAGAGAAAGGTTTCAGAGTAGCAGCCGTGGCATTTTAGAGGCGAGAAAGTGTGGCTGAAGGGCTGGGTAACGAAGACACCCTCAAACCACGGGAAAGGGAGCCCTAAGGTAAGGGTGAAGAAGGTGTTAAGAGAGAGAAGCAGGGGAGCTGTGGGGAAGCGGCTGTGACAGTGAAAGGTCAGCTGCCAACAGCTGCTGCCATTAGGATCCCTGGGCTGGAACCCGGAGTAGAGGGCAGGCCCAGATTCCCCCCAACCCGCCACTACAGAAACACCTCTTGGGAGGGGAAGACAGGCCCCTGACATGACAGGAGGCTCAACTGTTCTTGAATAAGCTGTAGGGACAACAGAGACTGTGGGAGTTCTCTCACCAACCTCCTTGCTGGCTTGTGATTAAAAGGGCTCAGTAGACTGTACCCTGGCCCTACATGGAGGGTCGCAGTGAGCCTCTGAGGTTAGCTCTGGAAGCGCGGGACCCACGGGGACAAGGTCGGAGCTCTGCCACACCCTCTACACATCTTATCTTCTCTGGCATTCTGCTGTTCTCCTGTCACGATGAACGTGGAGCAGATTTTGGATGTGTTCTTACCAAGTGCATTGGCATTTTCTTCCAACAAAGTATTTTTCTACAGCCCAGTGTCTCCCACCATTCTGCTATTGGCTGTTCTTCCTCTCTGCAGTTTTGGGGGTGGTTCAAAGCAGGTGCTGCCCCTGCAGCTCCCATTGGCTGCAGTTCCCAGCCAATGGGAGCTGCAGAGCCAGTGCTCGGGTCGGGGTGGGGGCAGCTCACAGAGCCCCTGTGGCCGTTCCTCCGCCTAGTAGCAGCAGGGACATGTCACTGCTTTCTGGTAGCCACACGGAGCCAGGTAGGGAGACTGCCAGCCCCACGCCAACCAGACTTTTAATGAAGATCAGACATGCTGGTTTCTAGATTTTTCCGGATGGTAAAGTAACACAGCTTTTACTGTAATAAGGACCTGACATTTGTTATTTTAAAAGTCTCCTGATTTTTAAGCCAATCTCCTTATTTTCCAGAGCTCTGACTCATGATTTGTGAATGCCTGGGATTGGCCATACTGGTTGTTACATCAGTGTAACTCCACTGCAGTTAAGGGAGCCGATCCTCACGTACACAGGTGTCAGAGACTGGAGAATCAGGCCAAATATCCTTCCAACCAGAAGGACAGGGGGCTCCTGTCCCTTCCCAAGTGAGAGCAGAAAGCCATGGGGTCAGTAGAGAAGAGCTGGCCCAGCCTATCACAGAGCATCAGCTTCTTCTAAGGCTTGGATTTGGAGAGAGCAAAGGGGAACACCTGTTTCCTGGCTTGCAATAGCTGCTGGTAGTCTGAGTTACTATCTTCCCTCCTGCGTTTACTGCCTGGAGAGGGCCAGAACAGGCTTTCAAAAGAATCAGCTGGCAGAAGGAGGGAGAGAGAAATCCAGACCAGATGTTGCCCAGAAGAAGACAGGATCTCCTTGATTATACTCTTGGAGAAAGAAATAGTTCTCCCCACTCTCCCCTAAACCTCTGCGATGAAACCCCTGATAACAACACCTGGGCTGTGCTCATAGCATTCAAGCTCAATTGCACTGGGAACGCTGGAGGAAAGACTCGCATACTGCAATGCAGATCATGGTCAGCATTTCGTCTACTTATTTTGTTTTACAAAATAGTGCTGTGATTGCAATTCAGAGTTTAAACATATAATGCAGAAATGGGCTCAGGAATCCACTGCCTTTGGCTGGAAAGCCTAGTTTTGAAATTGAATTTGGAAAGGTTATGACCTTTTGTCTTGATTTACTTGGTCTAGGCCCGAAGCTGGGAAGGGAGTGAGTGTCCCCAAGAGAGGCACAAATGTCATGAGAAGCAGCTCTTCAAAACAGAAGGAACTGATGTCTCTTGGGTCTTTTGCTTGTCAGACTCTAGCATCCAAAACTCATCAGTCAGATGCCCCAAAATCATGATTGGCTTAAAAATCATCAGATTTAAAATAATAACGATGATGATGATGATAATGAACAAAAAGAAGTCAGGATGCTCTCTGATTTTTTTTATCCATTAGGGAAAGCTGCTTGGCCCCAATATATGTGAGATCATCATGATTCAGCCTTAAACATGCCCAGGAACGCAGAAGGCCCTCTTGTCCATCGATCGGAGGGGTCTCTGCTTATCCTCTCCTATCCCCTGGCTTAACAACTGCCTCACTCACATTCCCTCTCCATGCTCCCTCACAGTCTGCTCTCCCTGCCTGGAGTCACTTGCCCCACATCATCCTACTCTTCATCCTTCTCCCTCTCTAACCCCTCCATCTCCTCACGCTGCTCCCTCCATCTCCTAATGCCCTCGCCCTGCTCCTCTGTGTCCCATTTATTTCCTCCTGCTCTCCACAGACACACCTACCAAATTCACGGTCCATTTTGGCCAATTTCACAGTCATAGGATTTTAAAAAATTTAAATGTCATTATTTCAGCTATTTAAATCTGAAATTTCACAGTGTTGTAATTGTAGGGGGGCTGACCCAAAAAGGAGTTGTAGCGGGGGAGGGTCACAAGGTTGGCGGGAGGAGGGGGGGTTGAAGTACTGCTACCCTTACTTCTGCACTGCTGCTGGCAGCGGTGTTGCCTTCAGAGCTGAGCAGCTGGAGAGCGGCGGCTGCTGGCCGGGAGCCCAGCTCTGAAGGCAGAGCCGCCGTCAGCAGCAGCACAGAAGTAAGAATGGCCTGGGTATGGTATTGCCACCCTTACTTCTGTGCTGCTGCCTACAGATCTGGGCCCTCAGATAGCAGCCACCATAGTCTGGCCACCGAGCTCTGAAGGCAGCAGTGCAAAAGTAAGGGTGGCATGATATGGTATTGCCACCCTTACTTCTGCACTGCTGCTGGCAGGGCACTGCCTTCAGAGCCGGGCGCCCGACCAACAGCCACTGCTCTCCGGACACACAACTCTGAAGGCAGCGCAGAAGTAAGGGTGGCAATACCGCAACCCCCCCTATAATAACCTTGCAACCGCCCTTCAACTCCCTTTTGGTCAGGGCCCCCAATTTGAGAATCTCTGGTCTCCTCTGTGAAATCTGTATAGTATAGGGTAAAAGCACACGAAAGACCAGATTTCACAGTCTGTGATGCGTTTTTCATAGCCGTGAATTTGGTAGGGCCCTAACTATGCTTCTTCCCTCACCCTCCATCTGATTTCCACTTGCACTTGCCCCCATGAGAAAGTGCAACAGTAAGTCTCTGATCCTGTAAAGGCTTAAGTATATCTTTACTCTTGTGAGTAGCCCCATTGACTTCAACAGGACTACTCACATGAGTAAAGTGACTTACTTTCTTAAGTCTTTGCAGGGCTGGAATCTTGGCTGGGGTCGAGAGCAATCCTGCCCTAGGATAGGGTGAATGGACTGACCCGGGCCCCTTTGCAGCACTGCCATCTAGGATCTTGCAATAGCATCTGAATTCTCTCCTAGAAGCTACACAGCAACATTTCAGAGACCGACTACTCAGGCAAAGAACCAGAGCCACTAATTCTGACCTAGCCAGTAGAATCCAGGAAATCTGCCTTGAGTGTCTATAAACAAGTGAAGTGTGTCATGGGCAGAGGTGAAAGTAAGCCGGTATGGGCCGGTACAGCATACCGGTAAAAAAAGATGCAGCAGTGTAACGACAAGAAAGTGGAGCATTCAGCACCGGCTTACTTTCACCTCTTTTGGCTGCATAACAAACAGCTTAAACTCAGAGCTAATAAAAGCTTGGAAAGGAAAAACTCTCTGTCACAT